CCGTGTTTAAATGGATTCTGGGTGGTTCTCTCCATGACTCAGGATACCTTTCTTTTTGAGATCGCCTTTCCTTCATTCCTCCAGCTTCTCCAGTTCATCTCCTGGCTTTTGGCTTCATTATGTGAACTGGGGGGCCAGTCTATAACAATGCACATCCTTTGGGCTCCCTGGGCACTTTTAATCCCAACAGTTTCTCAACAGAATTGCAGGCAGCATAGAAACATACTCCCCAGCCCTGGCCCCATCCCTTGCCTCCTGCTTCATCCCCCTAAATCATGTAGGTGAGAGTGACTATTAAAAAGACCCGGGCCCTAGACTGAGCCTTTTTTGGCCTCAACAGGGGGCTGATGTTCCTCCCTTGCCCCCAAGTTCCTGGTGCCCCCAAGGCACCAAAGGATATTTCAGGGCGGGGTTTCCATCCCCAGCAGCGAACTACGTCTTCCCTGGCTGCTTTCCTTCCCTGCTTAGAGCAGTGAGGGCTTCAGACTTTCTTCGCCAGCTGCCAGGCCAAGGATGCCCGAAGCCTGGCCTCTGGCTCCACTTCTCCGCAGCCTCACCTCGGGCCCGCGCCTCTCCGCCCCCGGCGAGCCCAGTCGGGCGCCGGCCGTCCACAGGCCCGCGTCCAGCCGCCCCTCTCCAGGGCCGGGCGTGGCCGGCGCGGCGCCTCGCGGAGCCTTCCCGCCCCGCTCCCCTTCCCTCCGCTCGCTGCCATCTGAATTCCCCCGTCGACTCCTGGGCGGAGGCCGAGCGAGCCTTCGCGAAAGGCGAGGACGGCGGGAGGAGGGCTCGGGCGCCCCTCCCGGGCGGCGCGGCGCCGGCCGGCCGTGCAGTCGCGCGCTCGCCGCCAGCAAAGCCATTGGCTCGGCGCAGTCACCCCACGCGGGGCTGCAGCGGCGGCCTCCGCGGATTGGCGCGCGGGCGGGCATCCATCGGGGCGCGCGCGAGCGGGTGCGTGCCGCCGGGGCCCCATCTAAGCCCACCGTCTCGGGGTTGGACTCCCCCTGTCCGTAATGACCACCCCTCCGCTATCCCTGCATTGCTGATGCTGCATCTGGGGCCTCTGCCAGCCCCGGTGGCCGAGGCCCTAGTCTAAAGAAAGGGCGCGAAAGGCGCGCTCCCCTATCGGGCGCACGCACCGACCGCCACCCTCGGCTGCACTGCAGCAGTTCGCGCACTCGCGCCGCTCCCCTCCCCGCCTGCACTCATTTGCATATCCCACGATTGTGACCAATCAGGACTCGTCTCTCTCGAAGCGGATGGCTTTGGCCCGAGAGGAAAGGGAGTGGCTGGCGGCGCATGCGCCGCGGTGGCAGACTTGAACCGAGGCTTTTATTGCTGTAGTTTATTTCCACCCCCTTCCCTCCTGTTCTCTCTCTCTCTCTCTTTCTTTTTTTCCGCCCTAGCTGGGGCAGTGCTGAAGGAGAGGAAGAAAAAGAGACAGAAGATTGCATTTATCTCTTACGTTCCTGATATTTGCTATCAGCAAGACCAGCTATTCGACTGCACATTTTTCAATCTTGCAAAAAATAACCAAGTGTCTTTCCTGGCAATTTTTGTTTAAAGCTGCTCTTTTGAAATTAATTTTTTCCTAGGAGAGAGATGTCTTATCAGGGGAAGAAAAATATTCCACGCATCACGGTGAGTTGGGTACTTGGGCGATATGCGATCGGCCAGCAACCTTTTTTTGTAGCACAGATGGTCTAAAGAATATATATATATATATATACACACACACACATATATATATATATATATTTTTTTTTTTTTTAAAGCAAGGGGAGGAAGAGGAACCCAACTTTTTTTTTTCCTCTTTACCCCCTTGTTACCGAAGAAGGCGATCGTGATGGGAGACGCAATCCTATGGAATTGTAAGCTGCATAGTTTCTAAAGCGTTAAAATAGGAGCGTGAGTGCATTAAGGTCGTTTTAGGTAGCGCGCCAGATCCGCTGTATCCTTTTGTCAGAGCGGGATGCTGCGGTGCTGGTCTGCGGGGTGTAAGCAAATGGATCCCAGATTGAATATGCATGGTTGAAGCTCGGATATTGTTCTCCCGGCTGCGTGCTGCGGGGCTGGACTCCTGGAGCCTGAGGGGGAAGACGGGGAAATGGATTCTTCCCCATTTCCCGCCCCCACCATAAGGGGCTTTCTGGAGCCTTCCTTCGGTTCTTCAGAAAAAGGAGCGGTTTCAGCCCAGAGGCGTAATGACAGCGGAGGGATGCTGAGAAGGGCTGGGTGTACCGGGATCCTGGAGAAACTGGAAGGAAAAACAGGGACGTACGTGATGATGAGCAGAGGGGGCGGGCGCGGGGGGGAGTAGGGACGGACAGGCGTGGGCTTTTTGTTGACCAGGACCGATTTGTGATGGCCCTATTGGCTTTCTCGCCCCAGAGTTTGGGGCTGGGATCCTGGCGGGGCTCTGGGCTCGCTTTCTTGTGTCTTTCTGCAGCCAGGGAGGCCTCCGTATTGGCTTATACAAAGCGGGCTAGGAGGGTGGGCGTTGGGGACAGCGCGAAGCCGGGCTCGGGGAGGTAATGGCGCTGCGCGACGTGCGGAGCAGATGGCCGGGCCCGGCCTCGGCCAGACAATGATCGCAGCACCCGGAGATGCGGTCGCAGCCCTGGGGCTTGGGGTCCTTAGTCTGTAAATCAGGAGGAGCTCCAAACGATGACTCTCCGATGCTTGGGAGATGAACGCAGGTTCCTGTTCTCGCTGCTCCCCCGCCCCCATCTTCTCTTCTCGCCAATCTTAGCTGTCTGCATCCCGGAATGATATCCCGCGGAGGGAGGAACGCGAGGGAAATTCATTGTTATATAATGATAACGCGATTGCAACTGGTAGAACCCAGGGCTGAGACGGTGACCGAAAGAAAGAATCTTTGAAAAGTCACGATGTGTTTAGGGCTGGGTCTGAGGGCGCGCTTTCACTGTGGTTTCCTCCTTGGCCACCGGCACCCCGGCTTTCACTGGATGCACAAGGGCACACCCATCCGCAAGAGAGGGATGTGGAAGCAAACGCACTGGGGAGGGGGCGTGTGCTCCGGCGGGTTTTAGAGGATGAGCAGAGGCGGTGGCTGCTAGCTTTTTCTTGAGGGCGAGAGACCCAGAATCCCAAAGGGCCGAGCGTGGGGGCACCCCACATTGTGTGTTCATTGCGCCCGAGAAAGGAATCTGGGGCGTGGGGTGGGGGGCGGGTGGAGAGCAGATTTGCTGCAAGCCTGAAGTAATCCGCTGTCTTCGTGAATGAAAAAGGCAGTTTCGGTTTGACAGTGTGGGGAGAAAAAAATATAAAAAGCAAACAATCAACAAGACTGATTTTTTTTTTTCCCAAAAGAGCGCCCCCTTTACCCTTTAACAAAATCTGGTTGCAGGATAGTGGGACCTATAGCATGGTTTCCCTCCCTCCATCAGCATGGCCAACCTCTTATGTAAGAAGCCACACGAGTGAGCTGGGCTGTGATGTTTCTCTCTCTCTCTTGTTTTCTTAACATGTTGTTGGCTCTGGGATTCGCATGATGGCTGAGACAGGTACCGCAGTGACTAAGCGAGCAGGTGGTGAAGGGCAGGGCTTATCCTTGCCTCCCCAGGGATATTTATCCTGTCAAAAGCTGGGTACTGGGGAAGAGGGGGAGGTCATTGTAGACAGTCCATGCACTGAATCAGGTGACTTTGGGCCAGTGGCTTAACCTCTCTGAGTCTCAGTTTCTATCTGTGTCTCTGAGTCTCAGTTTCTATCTGTGTCTGGCTCCATCCACCTCACAGGTTTGATTGGCAGCTGGGGTGACATGGTTTACAGGGCAGGATTTTGTAAAGGTTTTTACATTTATTTTATGTAAATACAGGAATTGTTGCTGCCTCTTTATTCTGTCTCTCAAAGTCTGCAGCAGAACGAAGGCCCCCACAGTGTACACAATTAAAATAATCTTAATGTTTTTCATTATGTTAGAGACACAATAAATACTTTCTAAACCCAAGTGTGTGTGCATTTATGTGTAAAAGTCTTTTCCCCTATGTCTCAGGCAGCATTTTTTTTTAAAGAGTTGCTTTAATTTTCTCATTTTGGTAGGTACTAAACATAAATTGCACTTGATGAGAATATTATTTTTAATTGAATTTTGAGTTGATCATTGTTAAAATGGACCATATTAAAACCATATAAAAAGGGCAGTCATTTAACCCTTCTGTGGAATAATACAGGTGTGTGTCTGCTGAACACAGGATTTAGCATAAGATTCCATCAACAGCATTTCTATAGAGATGAATCATAATGTAACATTTCTGTTCCATTCTTGTGACTTACGGGCTGCTTGTCATATATTTTTTTGCACCAATTAAAATATAAGTACATGTACAGTCAATAATGATGTGAGATTTTTAGAACTTGTCTTCTCATCTACTTTATCTGAAAACTTTACCTTTTTCTTAACAGCTGAACAGTTAAAATGGTGCATCTTTGAAGTATTTTCTTCCCACCACAGTAAATCCCTGTGATTCACCTCAAAGATAACGTACTGAATTGAAACCTTGCTATGACTGAACCAAATGTGTTTGTGTAGAGTATCCCATGACAACAGACTTTGGTTAATTTTTCCCCCACACAAACCTCGCCAAGAATTGACTTCCCCTACATGTGGGTGTATTTTGTTTTAAAATGAATTTTAACCTAAAGCTATTTAAAGTGATTGTCTTCTTTATCTGAAATGTTTTTAGATAGCTCTTTAAAGAGAGATTGTTGGGCTTTTTTTTTTTTTTTTTAATTCTTTTTTGCTTTTGCGTCTAATGGAGAAAGATTTTTTTCCTCTAGGATAAGCTTTGAATTTTGCCAGTATGTTCTGACTCATCAAGTGATGAATACGTTGCCACATACAGGTTCACCTTTGTCACTGAGTCTTTCCCAAATTGGCTCATTTTGAGCATCTCTTTGGAACAATGGAAGTGTTCTTAGCTCATTTGTCTTATCGTGAATCAGGAATGCATTATGACCTTACTACTTCTTTGTTTCAGAGTGATCGTCTTCTGATCAAAGGAGGTAAAATTGTTAATGATGACCAGTCATTCTATGCAGACATATACATGGAGGATGGGTTAATCAAGTAAGTGTAACTCATCATCTTGACAAATTTGGGTACCTTGCAGTGTTCCTAAGCATTATGTACAATTCAGACGTCTAGTATCAGCTCTAGTAACTTCAAAGAGACACTAACTTAATATCTGTTTAAACACAGCTTGATTGCTGGTAATTAGTGAATTTGAAAGCTCAGATTTAGGGAATTCAAAGCTATGATTGGATGCACATCCATTTCCTTACGTGTTATGTAACTGACTATTTTTAACCAATGTGACACAACGTTTTCTTGTTGCCAAATACTTGGGTTATGATCCATTGACTATATTAAAGGTGTTCCTAGAACATAGTTGTTGTGTGTGGAGGGTAGGATAGTCAGAGGACACAGGTACAAAATACAGCCTCATTGTCATGATAGCACATCTGCTTTCTTAATCAAGAATCCAAGTTATTGGGGCCAAAGGGAACCCAATTAATTACTAGGCCACAGAGAAAAATTACTGCCTCATTCAAGGCAATTTTAGGTTTTGTTCTTTAAGTGTCAATGAACACAGATAGGACTGCCCTTGTGTTTACATTGTATTGTGTTTCAAGGGAGAAAACAACAGAACAGTGATTGAATTAGGGTATTTTTGGACCCTAGAGGGTTAAGTGCATTGAGAACATCCCAGTATCCTCATGCCCTTCCAATTGGGACAGCTCACAGGGCCCTAGAGAAATAGCACATCTGTTTAAAGACAAACACTGCAGCAAGTGACATCTTTTAAATAAGCAGCATTTATCAAGGGCCAGCAACAAACCAATCCAGAGAAGTGGAAAAGTGTAGTGAACGGGTGTGTTGCCTGGAAACTCACACCCTGATTTATGATCCTAAAAGAGATTTTAACATTTCAACATTTAATGTTTTCTCCATGTGTGTTTGCTTGTGACAGTCTCAACTCCAGGCTCTCAAATACCATGACTTTCATGTTCCATTTTCTCCCAACTGGAAAGCAGCACAATCTGGTCTGTAAGACTCTGGCGGAAGAGTGAATAAGCCCATGTGCTATTTTTAGTCATCACTAATTTGTTTTAGAACTTGACCAACTCCTTCGTGATTAGTTTTACCTTTTCAAAAAACTGGCAGACAGATGTAACAGAGGTACTTTTTTAAAAATGGGAAGGGAATTCATGTCACCCACGAATATTCATTAATGCATGTTAGTGAATTTAATTTATATTCATTATTCATCATGAATGAATTATTTTCTACCTCTGTTATCTGAGTTGCTAATCATATTTTTAAGTAGTTTCAATCCTAGTGTTTACTTTTCATAATAAGAATGTTATTATAATTATTTTTTTGCTTTGTTTTGTTTTACTCAATACCCTTTTAATCCTCATTTCTCTTTGTTGAAAAGGATATGGTGAAAACAAATGTAAAGTGAAAGCAGGTCTGGAGAAAGTTGTTATAGCATAAGTAATTCAACTGGGTGTGTAATAAAGTATGGCAGTATTTTATGTAAATACCTTGGGACTTTGTTATCATTTGGTCATATGGATTTTCTGGTAACTAAACCTTGAATCGGCCTCTTGTGCCTTATTTAAATTTTGTTTTCTAGTATGCTCTACATTGCTTCTTGTGGGTAGGGAGTAGGACACCGACATGAATAATAACAATAACAATAACCTGAAAAGTCTTTGGAATATAGAGAAGGAATGTTTATGGGCTTGGTGAAAGTGTCTGTCAGATGCTGTTTGATTTAGGACATTTCATTTACGGTCATTATTGCCCACCCTGTTTATTTAGGCAAATAGGAGAAAACCTGATTGTGCCGGGAGGGGTGAAGACCATCGAAGCCCATTCCAGAATGGTGATCCCTGGAGGGATTGATGTCCATACCCGCTTCCAGATGCCTGATCAGGGGATGACCTCTGCTGATGACTTCTTCCAAGGCACCAAGGCAGCCCTGGCTGGAGGAACCACCATGATCAGTAAGACAGCTTACAAATATTCTTAGTGCCTGAGAACCATTGTCACGTGAACATGAGCCTGTGTTGTCTTTCCTTCTGAAGGTTGCCAGACTGAACAGTGGATGGGTCTTCCAAGTAAGGGGAGTGATGGGGGCAGGCCAGCCTTAGGCTCATTTTCTGTCCAGCTCTAAGGTTCTTCAGTTGAACTTCAGAATTTCAGTAGGATTAAAAAAAAAAAAAACGTGGCTTCTTGCTTTCTCTTCTCTAGAGCTTTTGTCTTTTTTAGATTGAAAATGCGATTTGATTGTGATCACTTTGAAAGCAACAGTCCATGGAGGAATCTTCAGAGCTATCAGTTTTGAGCCTTTGCTCCTAAGTAGTTGATTTTGACTTTTTAAAGATTTCCTAAAGGGTGTATCTTTTTGGAATGAGGCCAGGGTACAGCAGATGAATTGTTGAACCAGGAACTTAATTCTACTGATAAGAACATCAAATGGAAGGATTACTTCCTGCTTGGGGTTTGACATAAATGGAGTTGGGCAGTCCTCAGAGAAGAACCTGCAGATATCAGTTGTTGTCAAGATATGAAAATTGTTCTGCCGTGGACACCTTGGTGCCCCATGAATATTGCTCTGTAGGATGTGTGCTTTTCATTCAGCCGAATCCAATGTATATTTCCTAACAAATGTGAAGTGTTTGTGAATGGTCAGTTTCCAGCATACCTGTTTATTGCCCTTTTGACAAATATCATTTTGATTTTGAGGAGGTAGGCAAGTTGTACAGTGACCCACTAGACACACAGTTTTTTAATTTTTATTTGTTTGTTGAAGTGGATTTACAAAGTTGTGTTAGTTTCTTGTGTACAGCAGAGTGATTCAGTTATATTTCTATGTTTGTCTATTCTTTCTCAGATTCTTTTCTATTATAGTTGTTACAAGGTAGTAAATATAGTTCCCTATGTTATACAGTCAGTCCTTGTTTATCTGTTTATTAATATGTATGTATAGTAGTGTATATCTCTTAATGTCAAACTAGTAATTTTTCCCTCCCCACTGCTCCTTTCCTCTTTGGTAACCATAAATTTGTTTTCTATGTCTGTAAGTCTGTTTGTATTTTGCAAATGTGTTCATTTGTATCAGTTTTTAGATTCCACGTATAAGCAGGATCATATGATATTTATCTTCTTTCATCTGACTTTCTTCACTTAGTATGGTCATCTCTAGGTCTGTCCATGTTGCTGCAGTTGGCATTATTTTATTTCTTATTTTTTAAAAGATTTTATCCAGGAGTGAAAGCCAATATACAGTCTGTCTTAAAACCTTATAGTTCAGTTTAGAAGAGGGTCAATGTGGAAAGAACTTAGTGCTTTATGCTTTAGAAAATCCTCTTACTGGTTACTTTTTGAATTGATGCTCTTTTTAATGTGTGATTGCAGGATCTGTTTCTGAGCTTCCTCTTGTCCTCCCTACCTCCTGGCAGAACACTGCCAGCCCCTTCTCGTCCGAGCTCTTTGACTGCTTAAATCAAGCATTCACCTTCTTGTGTCCTTCCTGGTCTTCTGGGTGTCATGACTGACCAGAAAAAGCTTTTTTTTTTTAAGCCTTACTTCTTTCTTACTGCACATGTTACCTCTTAACCTAGGGGGTACCATTCTTGTGGTTGCAGGTGGTGTCCACACACACTTTGGGACACTGGCCTAGGGTGGATGCCTGCTGCTTTGTCAGTGGTGTCTGTTAGGACTCACCAGCACCAGTGGGAATTTCCGCACCTCCTCCAGGGCAGGCCGTGGAGCCATACTGGACCTTAGAGAAACAGACTCCTCGAGTGTCAGCCTGGAAGACCAAGTCAAGGTTATAAACGGCCTCAGTCTGGAGTCCCTGCCGGGGCCCTGTAGGCGCCTGCCTTGGTCACAGATTGTTAGTAAGTCACAAATATCAGACAGTAAAGAATCTGCCTCCAATGCAGGAGACCCAGGTTTGGTCCCTAGGTTGCGAAGATCCCTTGGAGGACGGCATGGCAACCCACTCCAGTATTCTGGAGAAATCCATGGACAGAGGAACCTGGTGGGCTACAGTCCACGGGGTTGCAAATAGTCGGACATGACTGAGTGACTTTCATTTCACTTCAAGGGAGTGATCAGTGATGTCTGTCAGTCATTGAGCCAAAGGACAACCCTAGGAACTACAAATACATCCAATGAGGCATCTGGAGATCTGGTCTACCTGCCACACCAACTTGCTGTGTGACTTTGGGAATCACCTCAGTTCTCGCGGCTGCTTGTCTGCACAGTGAAGGATTTGCACTAGAGGATCCTGGATGTCCTTTCCAGCTCCCACATTTGGCAACTCACTGAGCTCAGAGATGGAGTTTGCCTCTAATCACTTGCACTTCGTTCCACAGGTCCGTCAACGCTCTGCTTTCTCTCCGACTTACTTGAAAGACTCCATCCTGCTTTCTTGATTCTGCCTCTTCACTCCTCACACTTGATCCATTCTTTTTAAAAAAAAAAAAAATTTTTTTTTTTACACTTGATCCATTCTTTGGCGCCTTTCCTGCTTCTTGTCCTTTTCTTTGGCCATGCTGTGTGGCATGTGGGATCTTAGTTCCCTGACCAGGGATTGAACCCGTGCCCCCTGCAGTAGAAGCGCAGAGTCTTAATCACTTGACCACCAGGGAAGTCCTCTTGTCTCTTTCTGCCTTCCCTCCCCCACCCACCTTCACTCATGAGCACGTCCCTTCCTGCTGATATCCTCACCTTCCCTTTGGCCTTCTTTCTCAGTGGCTGTGAGCATCTTTCCCTGACTTTCAGGTGGGTTCCTTCTGTGGAGTGATGAGGGATGTCTCCAGAGTCCTGCCCCTGGACCGCAGGCCCAGAATAGGCAGCAGATGGCCTTATTGTGCGTTGGAACAAAGAAGGGGGAACAAATCTGACTGCCTGACCCATTCAGTTAGGCAGAATGCAAGCATCCTTTAAGGCAGAGTTGCTGGCACAGTTAAAAAGTGGGGAGATTTAATGAGCAAATCTCAAAGAATGAAAGTAAGCAGAGGTGATGGGAATGTGGTCCCAAGTTGTCACACTCCAAACTCCACTGCTTGTATATCCTTAGAGAAATATTAACTGCTCCTGCAAGTGCCCACCCATGGTTACTGACCTGTATAGAAGTACCACTGCCTGCCCTTCCCTCAAGAGACACGTGGTAATAATACAGATGAGGAAATCAGAATTATTTTTTTTGCTGGCCGATTATGCATTCTGTATTGCTTCAAGTGAGTGAGTGGCTAGAGTGTGCTTCAGAGTGGAGCCTTGCAAAGAGGAATAATAGCTAGCTTAGTGAGACTTCATTGGTACCTGTGACCTGCTCTTTCAATGAGATTGTAGCTTCTTTAATGAATATTGAGGCCAGCACTAAATACTTCGGACACTTTGAAGAATTTCAAGTGAAAACAGAAATAAGCCATTGAAGGAAGTTGGCACCATGCTCCCTCTCTCCCATCTTTCTGCATTGCTCCAAGTCATGTTACTTGATGTGTCTTCACCTGCTACCTGCTGTGCATTTCTCAGGTCATGGGACCTGGAGGCTCCATTTCTGTCTGCAAGGCACAGCCTGCAGTGCAAAATGCAGCCAAATGGTCCCAGTTTGGAAATGGAGGTGACACGTCAGTTGCAGAAAATAATATTATTGCCATGAAACAGAGGCTGTCATTGAGAAAAGTACAATGAGATCTTTGTAAGGGGCCCTCTATGCGGGGCAGAGGGAACGTCCTTTGCCCTTTCCGTCTGGTGATGGGTGGGCAAAGGCTCTAGACACACACCCGGTAGGCGGCATCCAGACCAGCTGAGGGGTCATGGAGGTGGCAAGGGTGCCGCTTGTTGAAAGTGCTGCTGGTGTCCTGGGGGCTCTGTGACCGTCAGAGTTCAGACCCCAGAGTCTCTAGGGAGCAGGCAAGAACAGTTATCTCTATTTTATAGAGGGGAAGACCGGGGCCAGAGGGCCGGACACTCACCCTGTTCACCAGTGCAGGTCACAGGTATGGGAGTGCATACCTGCAACTGTGGCCCCACCACCCACCAGCTGTGTGACCTCTGCTTTAAGCCTCAGCTGCAGACTGGGGATAGTTGTTGCAGAGATCGACGGTGGAGGCATCAGAACAGGACCCGGCCCTCAGTCAGCACTCAGCTGTGGTGGTTATTATTGTTCCATCTCACATCAGGTACCAGAAACCTCCCATCTCCACGGAGATGCCCTCTGGATCGCTACTCTCTACAGAGCCAGAGGAAAGAGACTCCAGCTGCAGGAGGACCGACCTGACTGTTTGCTGGGAGTGGGGATTCTCTAAGTGTGGTCAGCAGACTGGGTTCCCTGATGTGACTTGGGGTGCCTCTTAAAACATTCAGTTTCCTGAGCCCTACCCAGCCTCTTGACCTGGAGGGTGCTGAGGGGACCTGTGAATCTGTATTTGAATCTGGTGATTGTCACGTGAGCTTGGGGAGCTATTGGAAAGTCGGGCTCTTGGAGGTCCATGCCAGATCTGCAGGCTCTAGATGGCTAAGGATCTTGCCTTAGTCCTCAGGACGTTTGTCCTGTGTTACGGTTTGATCATGGCTCCTCTGCCTCTTTTGTCTTTATAAAAATTATTTGGCTGCTCTGGGTCTTTGTTGCTACACACAGGCTTCTCATTGTGGTTGCTTCTCTGGTTGCATCTTTCGGGCTCTAGAGCCCAGGCTCAGTAGTTGTGGCACATCGGCTTAGTTGTTCTGTGACATGTGGGATCTTCCTGGACCAGAGATGGAATCTGTGTCCCTGTATTGGCAAGTGGAGTCCTAACCACTGGACCACCAGGGAAGCCCTGTCTCTTTCGTCTTCATCCCCACCCTCTCTGCCCCCCGCCGCCCCCAGCAGTGTCTTACTCCTGAGACACTTGCTCCACTGATGCATGGCTGAATGAATGAATGAATGAATGATGGGATGAGCTTATTTGCTCATGGGACTTGGTTTCCTGCTTCATCTGCATGTCGTGCC